ATGGCTGGAAGGATTGGAGCTTCTTTGTAAGGAATCACGGCTACCGGAGGGCAAGAAAGTGTCGATTGAAGAACTCGAACGAGAGTCGTTGGAAAAAGAGCGCAGAGAAGTCCGGGCCCGGGAGCATCGCGGGATTGACGGGTAAAGAGAGCGTAAACGCATGTAAGAACCCGGTTGAGTCTTCACTAAAAGAGTCTGGTGTGAAACAGGGTTAGCATCTTGCTAAGCTGAGAGCAAATCAAGTTATAAACGTGAGAAGCTCTTACGGTCACTTCTTGCATCATCACGAGTCCAATGAAGGAGAATGAAGGGAAACGTGTATAGCAGAGGCAGCAATGGTGTCAAAAAGGAACAGAGATTGAAGTGCAAATCTCAGACAAACATTTTTGATAATAAAGACCAGATTATAATTGAGAGTCTCAATGAAGAATTTGCGCAATAATAAAAAGACGGTACATATGGCCGAGGATCACAAGCAACGATTATTATTTGAGAAACATCAAGTAACTAGCAGCAGACTCAACCTAAATCACGGGGGCGGCACACTGTACGATCTGACGTACTCTCGGCAGCGTTCTCGGCCTGTTCAGCGCTGGCGGCTATGCATTTCCGTGGGGCTCTTGCGGCCTGAGGCATTAAAAGCACCAATGGAGCCTCCTGAAACCAAGGGTAGGGACAAAGTCATGAATTTGAATATCAACCATTTATCCAAGTCTTTGTATGAATTCCGACTGATTCTATACCTGAAGTGGTTATCTAATAGGAAACGTCGGACTTGCATACATACATAAGATCACAAAGAAATGAAGAAAGCTTGGTGACGAAACAGTTCCCAACAAAAATTGAAGTCTCTCTTTCGCCCGTGCGCCATGCTGCCCATAATACGTACAAGTGGACGAAACTTTTCGATGTTTTCTTTTGTTCTTTCTTGGTCCCCTCCTGCAACCACTTGTTGCCGGCGTTATCACGCAACAAGACTCTCCAACCTTGGCTTCCTTATCCGAGGGTATAATAGTAGTTTCAATTCAAGATCACTTCCGGGCGCATCTCATTGAGCGCAACGAATTGTACTGAAAAACGTAGACCCTGGTCCTCTAAGCAGAGCGGAGAGACAGATATAAGCCCGGAGGACTTCAAGTCGACTCTTACGCAACCGACTCATGGAGATGTGAGAGGCGCACAAAAGGTCTTCCGCGAACGATTGTGTCGCTCAAAAAGACATGTGTACTGATGCAGTCCAGCCCGATTAAATTACCCACCGATAACTGGCATAGCGGCCGGCGGTTTCACTCTTTCGGATGATCTTGACGACCTGTCCCCGCCGCAAACCCAAGTACCTCGCGACGGGATCAGAGACCTGGATACGAGGAAGTTGCGACTCCTTCAATCGATACCGCTGGAGCAGATTCTTCTTCTCCTCTGGGCTCAGCAGGACGTGTTTGGGCACCAATTCATGACGGGTGATGTTGACCAATAGATCCTGCTCCTGGAAATGCTCACAGATACGACCGGGAATACCACTCAGTAGGCGCACAGCAGATGGGGAGATTGGCGTTTGAGTGATGAAGACTCCGGTGTGAAAGTTGTTCTCATCKACAAAGTGATTGAAGGCTCGAACTTGCTTGGTACCGACACCGGTGGAATCGGCACAGAACTCAACATAGATAGTACCACAGTCAGGTTGAGGGTCCGGGTTGGCGGGGGTGGGCAAAGGTGTATATTTGGCTTGCATGGCTGCTGTGGGACGAGCGCTGATTTTCATCTTGGTGCGACTGTATGTGTTGAAGAAAGTGCGTTAGATGAGTTGAACAATGACGCCAGAGAAGTCCAGGGTAGTCGCGTACTCAGGGAATCCCACAGGGTCCGCGTATTTCTGTCTAAACTCATCAAGGGGAATTTGAATCTCTTCTTCTGTGACTTCGTACCCCTGCAGAGCAGAACGATCGTGTTAGCGTAACCGCATGACCACGCAGCGCAAACAAATAAAAGTTCCAGAGACACTTACCCGATCTGCCAGCATCTCGAATACCGTCCTCCAGGTTCGCCAAAGTCTGGTCATCTCGCGGTCGGCCTCCGCGGAGCTGGTGTACTCTTCATCCATGGCTGAAAGTTGATGTAACCACGCCTGTCCGCTGGATCAAGAGGGAAATGTGACAAGAAAAAGAAATGCTATCTCGGTGAGAGCGCCGAGAAATTTGTCAGGCGCTGAGGGGGGTTGTATGGAAGAAAATCGGTTGATAAGTAGAAACTTGGATGCTGTTGGTGATCGAAGTTCTCGAAAAATCGGGCGGACCTGCGCTAAGAGCGCCAATGGTAAGCGCCGCCAACCAGAAGAGAATCAGACGCCAGTAAAGGCCAGGCTTACCATAGAAGAGCTAGGGAAAAAAAAGAGAGTGAGCCAGGGAAAGAAGAGAGGCACGAGTTCTCGGTCCCCTTCCCCAACTTTCCGCCTACCTGGCAATTATCAATTATTTTTGTGTATCTCGCTCGTGTTATTACCCTCCTTTCTTCCCACTCCCCTTGAGCTGCATCTTTGCGATTGATCCAGACGATCAATCGGCTCACTTTTGAGTTTCTCCTCACTCATCTTTTCCTCTTAATCCACCCCCTCTTCTTCAATTCTCAAAAGTCATGTCTGCCGCCGACAATGCCGCTCCTGCCACGGAGCAGAAAGCCAGGCCAACCAAGCCCAACGAGGAGGCTTTCAAGGCCGATCTCGCTCAGGCTGAAAAAGAGCATGCTGCTGTCCAGGAGAAATTGGTATGTGAGATCTTCGTTAATTGATAACGTCCATTGCTCTATTACTTTGTTCTGTTTGATGCTCCGCACAATGCGCCTCTTTTTATTTCTTTCTTACCTCTACCCCTCCTTCTGTGGAAAACCACCCTCACACTTGTATCATTTCCGCTTCTGCTTTGATGATATGCGTATACGACCAGTCGCATAATTGTATAGCATATATAGAGATACTGACTGTGCGCAGAACCAAATCAAGGCCAAGATCGAGAGCGCCAAGCCTAACAACCAGGACTCGCCCGCAGCCAAGAGACAACAGGAACTTCGTGCTGAGCTCTCCTCCATTCGTCAAAAGCAGCAGGGATTCAAGGCCTCAAGAACGAGCACCCAGGAGAAGATCAATGCTCTGGAGTCGACCCTCAAGGCCCGTATTACCGAACAGAACAACTCCCGCACTCGCATGCCATTCAAGAATGTTGAGGATATTGACCGGGAAATCGCCCGTCTCGAGAAGCAAGTCGACTCTGGTACTCTCCGCTTGGTGGACGAGCGCAAGGCTCTGTCCGACATCTCAACTCTTCGTAAGCAGCGCAAGAACTTTGCCGGCTTGGACGAGGCGCAGAAGGTCATCAACGACCTGAAGGCGCAGATTGCTACCCTCAAGAAGACTCTCGACAACCCCGAAGCCAAGGCTCTGAGCGACAAGTACACCGAGATCCAGAAGGAGCTCGATGCCATCAAGGCCGAGCAGGACAGTGCTTTCAAGAACCTGAACGCCCTGAGAGATGAGCGTACTAAGCTGCACGCTGAGCAGCAGAAGAAGTGGACTGCCATCCGCGAGATCAAGGACAACTACTACAAGGCCCGCAAGGCGTACAAGGAGTATGAGGACGAGGCATGGAGGATCCGCCGGGAGAAGCAAAAGGCCCAGCGCGAGGCCTTTGAGCGCGAAAAGAAGAAGAAGATCGCTGACAAGAAGCTTGAAGAGGCTTCCCGTCCCGCTTACACCGACGAGATTCTCATCGCGCAGGGTCTTATCCGCCACTTCAACCCGTCCTACGACTTCTCCACCCTTGGTCTCGATGACAAGAAGGATCAGTCTTCTGCTTTCCGTGCTCAAGTCGGGCGTACCGTTGACGACTCCAACCTCAAGGGCATGAAGGTCCTGAAGAAGGAGGACCGCGAGGAAGACTACTTCGTCGGCACCGGCGGCAAGAAGGGCAAGAAGGGTAAGAAGGGCACCGCCAATGGCAGCCCTGCCCCCGGAACTCCTGCCGAGCCCACCAAGTTCAACCTCAACGTCGGTGTCATCGAGGACTTTGCCAAGGTCAAGATCGATCCTCCTATGAATCAGTCCGATGTTCCTGCTGTTGTCGAGAAGCTTGCCGCCAAGGTCACCGAGTGGAAGAAGAACCAGGCCGCTAAGACTGAGGAGGTGAGTTAACTAGATTTAATGCAGATATTTACAGGCGATGTCGATGTGCTGACTGATTTGTGTAGAACATCAAGAAGGCTCAGGAGGAGATCAAGCGTCTGGAGGAGGAAGAGGCCAACTCTGACAGCCAGCGTGCTACCGACCATGCCAAGAAGGTCGCTATTGAGAACAGCGGTGTCAATGGTAAAGTCTCCGCCGAAGCTGAGCTGAAGCAGGAGAACGATGCCACCGCGGATGTCTCCGAAGAGCTCCAGAAGGCTTCGATTGAGGACACGGCATGAAGAGAAACACGAACGATATAGACTCTGTCTATGCCCATCGCATGCACTTTCCATTGCATCAGCGGGTGCTTTTTGGCATTCTAGATCTGCAAGAGCTTCCCCGAAGTTTGCATTCTCATTTTCTGCGATTTCTCCCGAGCATTTGCTAACCTGAGCCTTTTTCCGAGCTCTTTTCTCCTTTTCCACATGAACATGTCAGTGGTCATGGCTGACTCCGAATTTCCTTTTCTTGTTTTGTCTTTATATATCTTTGTGATACAGCCTTCTTCTGGAGGCGGCTGGACATTTCCCCTCGTGACTTATATTCTCTCGTGTAATTTCAGGTTTCATTTCCGTTCTGCTCCCTGTCCCGACGTGTGCCGTCGCATGCAACCCCTTGCCTCCTCTCCGATTCATGTGGTCTTCAAAAGTGTTTGCAGAGAAGGCAAAAAGATTGGTTTAGCGAGTTCATTTCAGCCTGTAAGTAACGACATGAGCGACTGGAAATACTATTTAGGAGATGCATTGCCTGCCTGGTGCTTCAAGTATATTATCGTAACATCATAACATCATGAGCCGAGATGCTGTTCTTCACCACCAAACACCTCTGCCAGGAAACCCACAATTGTATCAAACTGGCTCGCATCTAAGAGCCAATTCTCACCTTGCTGCGAACCAGGACGAGGATCCCGAACCACCTTGACAAACCCCAAGCGATTTAATGTCTCGTAGGCCGTCAAACCCGTTCGAGTATCCACGCATGCATCATCCTCAACGTAGCTCAGAAGAACCGGAGTCTTCAGCAACGCCTCCCCAGCCTCAGAATCCACCTCCACCCCGTCCACTCCTGACGAACCCTCTGACCCTCCCATCCTCGCCTCATCTTCAGCAAGCCAGCCCCGGCCCCGGCCACCTAATCCCTCGATCCCCTCCGCGAAAGGAACCCACCCGCTCATACCCACAAACCCACCTAATCGTCTCCGCGCAGTGAGTAACGTAGCAATCGCAACAGCCATCCCCTGCCCGAACCCACCCAGTACCACGCGGCGACTGTCCCCGCCCAACCGGCCGACTTCCTCCTCTACTATTTGCAGGATGTACTCTACGCAGGCTTCTAGGTTTTGGTCTTTGTTTTCGTTTTCATCGTCGTTTTTGGCTTCTGCGGAGGGCTGTGCTTGTGCTTGTGTTTGTTGAGGAGAACCTGCGTCTGCGTCCGCATTTACGTCTGCATCTGAGCTTGTAGTTGCCTCAATGTCGACGTCGACGTTGATCCAGTTCCCCTTGCTTGCATAGCAGGTATCTATCTGGCGGGGCTGAGCGGAGGGAAAGACCCAGCGGCAGGAGGGGAAGTGCTCGAAGATAGTTTTTGATTTTGATTTTCCTGTTGCTGTTGGTGTTGAGGCGGCCAGCGCGGCGGCTAGCTCGGCGCCTGTGCTGTTTGTGTCGTGCAGGAGGATGATGGTGGAGGTGTGGGAGGGGCTGGAGGGGAAGTAGACATGGCGGGGTGGGAACAGTTGGGTCACCATTTTGGAGGCATCACTGGGATAGGGAGAGAGATTGAGAGGGAAGAGAGGAAGGGGGTAACTGGGTGTAGTCTAGCTGTTATATACCTGCGTGATTATGTCTAAGACTGGGATCTAAGAGTGGGATCGTCATGTCGGGTACCTGCTTCGAGGCGCGTAGCGTCACTTGGACCATTGTGCCCAAGTAATAAATGGGAAGAGAGTCATTGGAAAACCCGTTTTTGTCGTTATTGTGTTTCAACTCTTTCGAGTGGTTTCTCTTCCCTTGCATATGCTATAGAACTTAATATTATATATTATGGACGGGGTGACGGTGAGGTAGTTCGGCTTTGTTGTTCCCCTCATGAGCAGTCATGCCGGCGGTAAGAAAGAAGCAAAAAGGACACCCTGAACAGCAGCATAGGAAATCATATAGGTGACTGCCATGCTTGCATACGAACGCTGCTTCTGACTCCCAACCTCCTTCTTGTCCAGGCGGACCGAGGAGTACTCCTTCATGAGAAGATCCGCGACCCAGAAATACCACACTGGATAACCCGAAGCCATGCGCGTAATGATCTGAACATGATGTTTTGCGAGTGTCAGGATGGCCAGGATGAGCTGGGGAGCAGCCAGGCTACGCAACAGGCGGCCTGCTCCTGTTAGTCTGCCTGATTCGACGTTAAGAGTCCAAAGGGCAGAATACGTCATGATCGCTAGCATTGGACTGGCTAAGGCGAACAGGGGGATATTGGACACAGTCCAATACCGAAGAAACCCATTGTTCCTATGGCATTAGTTAGCGGCGTAACGAATACCAACTAGACACGTACCAATAATGGTCCTGGACGAAGCTGTAGATAGATGGAAGTGTCCTACGACACCATATCCTTGGTTCTTCATCGTGCGTATATGGGTAATTGATGCAGAAATCCCGGTAAGCAATGTATTGCGGTATTACAAAACCAAGACCCGTGCAGACACCGGCTATGCCAACGGCGAGTAGCCGGCGAGATTTTGCAAAGGTGACACCGCTGGTCATGGAATACAGCAGTCTGATTGCTTCGTCGAGGAACAGCAGGCCGTTGAGAATCCCATTGCTGCGAACAGTCGTAGCTAACCCGCACAGGATACCCGCTAGTGGTATGAGAGCATCTTTGAGACCCGTGGAAGCCCCTGATAGACTGAAGCTCTGAACGAAGAGAAAGTAGCCTGTGAAGCTCAGGAAAGCATAAGTACTCTCCCCGAACGGAGCTGAAAGAAACAGTCCAGCAGGCGAGAATGTATGTAAACACGCTGCGATGAATGCGAGCATGCGGCCCTGCCTTCCAGAAAATAAGGCGCATCCTAGACAGTAGAGGACTAGCACCGACACGCCATGAGCTGCATGAGCTATGATAATACCAGCGATATGCTCCCTAAATGCGCAGTCTACAGCACCTGTCTGTTGGAGAGCTACGTAACTATTAGTCGGTCTCTGTGCAGCAATTTCAAAGGCGCTCTCACCATTAGCAAAGAAATTGATGAGGCTGGTGAAGCCATAACCGAATGCCCATTCCTGCTCGAAAATATAACCCCGGCTTGACACCTCGGTGAAATATATAGCGTCCCATCTGGTCAGCTTGGTGGAAACCAGGTGCAAGAATGCTATAAAGGGTCCGCCGCCGTCTGCATTGGTTGCATTACGGTTCAACCGAAGCGTGGTCGAGGTGTCGTAGCCAGGGCCAGGACTGAAGACAGCCAGGAGAAGTAGAAGAGTTTTCCAGAACACAAAGACAGCCAGTAGTGATTTATAGGGGCGATCTGGAGAAATTCGGAATGAGCACGACATATTGTGACAACATCCAGCTTGGAGAAGAAGACGCGTTGATGGATGGGCGCGACCGAGGTGCTGTCCCGTAGATAATCTTAAGTCCACCGCAGTACGACAAATTGCGATAACCCTATTCTACAGCATGCTGCCCGTTATCTATAACTTCAACCACAACTTTATATGGAAATTGAACGCAATTGCATCTTCTTGTCTCTTGTATTTTTGCGCTCGTTCAGCTCTGTTGTATGCTTATATACTCCCCAGCTGAAAATTCGCCTCAGGCCATGTAATCCTCAACAAGTCATAACGGCCGCAGAACCCGCTGGCCTACTCCCCAACACCGGCCGCCTCTCTGGATCAGAAGCCACAAGACGATTTTCCCGCCTCAAAGCAAACCACAACAAGATCCCCTGTCCGAGAGAAAAGATGGCCTCATCAACAGCCACAATCAACCTCTTTTTCTTTATTTAGCACCGCCTTATTGGTTCGGCACACCATGCCTGTTACGCGATCGGTCACATGTGCTAGTGAAATGAATGCTGAGAAGACTACAACGAAACACGCTTCAAAGCAACAGAATGACTTGCATTCTATCAGCAACACTACCACGAAAACAAATGCCAAAGATCCATCTCCAGCGGAAAGGCCGCCTCAGAGCCGCAGATTGCTAGAATGGATATCGCTCAAAGATCCACCAAATGGTGTCATCCCAAATAGCGATGAACTCTTTGGCACGCTCCAAGAGATACACAAACTCAAAGAATGCATTGTTATCGCCCGAGGCCGTCCACGTGAACTAAGCGAGATTGAGTGGTTGATTATCGGTAAGCAGCATTAACCTTTCGATGTAAGAAGATGCTATACCGTCTTCTAAATAGCCAATAATTAACCAACTACTAGAGTGGAGAAGCAGCAGAGACAGGGAAGAGTTTCTTACCTCAGCGCTTTTCCTCAGATTGAATGAAGCCCTTGCACATCGCTCGTGGAGCCAAGAAGTTGCCTGGCCGATCTGTGATACTGGGAAGATCATACGCGCAAACCCGCTTTTCCCCCCACAGAGGCTTTATGAGGTCCTGACAATCTATTTCCCTGCAGACTTAGATCGGGAAGCTATCTTCTCTATTGAAATGTTTAGAGGGCTACCCTGCTGGCACATTGATGATGAAGACCCAGCTGAATATCCCTCAGCGGCGCTCAAGTCCCAGAGTCCTGCATGGATAGAGGGGACTTGTGAGTATCAGAGGCAAACTGCAAGGAGGTTAGCTTATTTCATTGAGTTCGCTAACGAGGAAGGAGAACGAATCTATAAAGAAAAGGTGAGGTATAATCCACGCGGAAGGCCACCTTGGGACGTCATGGTGAATTTCTTTGACGAGCTGAAAGATCTTGGGATGATCGGGTACCAATCGCTGCATGTTGAATTCGTGGAGGTTGTTCACTATGTACCGGAGAACTACGTACCAGAGCCTCCCCGCCCTATATCTCCTGAAGCGATGAAGCGTTTAGATGGTTTGCCAGCCTACGACTCAGATGTATCATTATAAAAGGAAAGCAATGGCAGAGCAGGTTGCACAGGGTGGCACCAATGGTCGTTCAAAAGTGCTAAGGAACAATAGATAGACTCTTAAATAGACTCATTTCCAGTCAATCTACTAGTAGGAGGTCTTCGCAAGATGTTATAAGTCATTGTCAACCTCCAATCTTGCGGTCAGAATAGCATCCCGATACAAAGCCATACGCGCACTCCGGGGATGGAGCCTCGATCTGTCGAGTAGGCAAGAACCACCTGACATCCTGCTGCTAAAGTCACCGTCGGCTAGAGCTTCATTCACCAGTACGACATGCTTTGCTAAATCCCCATCGGGCTCCTAACCCAACGCTTGTGCTAGTTGTGCTCAGGGCTAATGATCCAGTCTAAGCTCGTTGTGGGGAAGTTTGCCGATTGGAGATCGCCCCGCCCGGCCCGGGGCTTACCCTAAACTCAATTCAGGATCGGCGGACTTGATCCCTTATTTGCTTCTCATCGACCAACCCTTTCCTTCTTGCTAAGAGATCAAAAAAGGGTCTCCTGCAGCCCGGGTACACCGGCAATTTCCCTCGAGCTACAAAGCCTTGAGAAGCTGTGGCGGAGGACCCCGTATCTGTTCGAAGCCATCTTACGCCACATTGCTAATAGAGGCAGCCCATGCAAAAATGCATGGGCTCCGCCTTCATTCTTTTTCATAATGCCCCTGAAGGCTTGAAGCAGATTGAGCTTCCCCAAAGCACATGGCCTCCCATTTTGCCATGGGTCATAGAAGAATCATGTTTCATCGAACATACTATGGATCACGCCCAGCGATGATGGATGTATGCCAGACAGCTTTCTCTTTTGCCTACAGCTGGAGAGAGATACACATTATTCTGGCCCGGTGGAAGATACGCCGCATGGGAGTGGGGAGTAGCCAAGAACCATAACTACAGTCTACATACCGATCCAAGACACCAGCCTCGTCTTGCCGGGCGGTCCTATGCTGACCTTCACCGTAGAAGAAGGAGAGCAGCCATTGCATGTTCCCAATAGGTGGCCGGTGAAGGTTATATCTCGAGCGTAAGGACAGCCGTGCTTCCCAAGTTGACTACCCGCTGATCTCGGGTCCAGAGAAGAAGCCGCCCCAATTTTAATCGCAATGATTGAATGTGCATCAACCGCTCCCTTACACAAATGGGTGGTGTTCGTGGGAATTCATATTACCTACCATCCTGGTCCTTCTGGCGAGACCAGGCCGATCACTTTTCATGGTCGACTCCTGAAGTATCCTTCCAGTTACAAGTGGTGTGGTCATTGGGCAGAGTACACAGTTGATGGCTGTGAATGGGGATATGGGACGATCCTGATATACAGATCTCGCCCGACGACCACGAGGATACGAGGATTTCGCAACTCTCCATCCTGGAGAGACATGGTCCACGTTCGTAGACCACGAGTCGCCTGAAGATATGCAGGTTGGCGATTTATTTAGAGCTCAATTGACGGAGACGAAGATCGACTGGTGTGACTGGAGAACTCGGGAAGACCACCTGTCTACCAAAGTAACAGTGCCCTGTTGGATGGCCGACTATTGATTGTGGTACCGGCGTCAGAGCCTGTTGATATCCAAATCATTTAGACTCAATATGGTTGGAGATCATTCACATACGCTGCTTGGCAACATCTAAGACTGTTTAATACAAGTCAAATACGACGATCAGTGCGTGGCGGCTTATTTGGTTGATACACCTATATTCCACATCTCTTTCTCGAAGGCCTTGCTATTTAGAACACTGGACCAGGTACTTTGCTGGTAGTGTCACCGCACGTTTTCCCGCGATCTTACTCATCCTGGATATTAATTGATGAGATGAATAGACGCAGTTGTGGTCAGGGTTGGATGGCAGCACGGAGGCTCAAAGGCATGGAAGCTTGGCCTTGTATCTTAACCAGGATTCAGGTAGTATCTGGGGCTCCCCGATGGGGATCTGGATGAGAAACTCGAGTCTCATGAATGCATTTATCAACCAGTCGGTTCGTCAAAAATCTAGAGAATGATCTACATTGAAGACTGAAAATTCAAGTATTTGTGCTGAGAGGTTCGCAATGAATGTCGCTGCACATCTATAGAACTACGAGTGTGATGCTCATTCATTATGAGGCTATTCAAGAAATGGTGGAGTGAGGCTGTCAAGGAGCGCCAGCACGGGGCGGTCATATAAACAGTGAGTAAGCCATTCAATGCCTAAGGCAGATAAACATATGACTTGCAGCCTCGCTAATGATAAAGGATTAAGAAGTCCATTTTCTTAGTACTCAGTAACTAGAAATCATCGAAGATACAAACTGACTTGCCGACAGCAATGTCCAGCGCGAGGAGGGGTGGATAATGGATTACGAATTGCAGGTGGCGGTGCCGGGACTTTACATGGATGCCTACGGCCTTGGAATGGCTCCATCCTCCATCAAACCAGAGATTGAGAGTGCAGTTTTGTGGTGGTCATAGTCTTTCTGGAAGTGTCCATAAACGAGAACGGCTCCTCTCTGCATGTAGTTTGTAATCTGACTTTATCTACAGGCGTGATAAGAGACCTTCTGTACAAATACTCATAGGTACAGCCACAGACCTGCCGAATCCGGAGATCCCGTGCCATTTGCCAAGTGGTTGGGGCGCCTCTTTCTTGGGAGTACTTGTTAACTTCCATCTGACTGACTATTCTTAATAATTCCTCTCCTTTGCCCTCCTTTTCACTTTTCTTCTTTTACCATATTTCGCATCGTCAGCGCGACGCTCCACATTGACGCAGCGAAATATCTCCTTATCCGTACTCTTGCAATCAGCTGACAGCCGTCGGCAATCTTCCAACTGCTCAAAGAGCGACTGCATCTTGACTCGACACCTCTGAGGTCTATTCGAACTAGTGATCAGTTTCAGCCTCTATTAGCTGTACATTTTGATAATTCACCTATTGAGGACCTTGTCACTTTTACGCAAGCATCAAGATGTCATACAACAAGCCGGTTAGTTCCCTATGTTTCTCATACTCACTCCTCCATTTTCTTGATGACTTGGTGTGCGCTAACATCTAACGTTTATAACTAGGACGGCCCTCCTCCTTCATATCCTGCGCCCGTTCATGACGCTGGCCCATACGGCCACCCCGGCTCACCTCCTCCTCCGAGTGGCGCGAACCAAGACTACTACAACCAACAAGGCGGCTACTACCCTCCCCAGAACTACGGCCCCCCTCCCCAGCAAGGATATGGCGGTTACGGCTCGCCCCCTCCCCCGGGTCAACCTATGTACTATCCTCCGCAAGGATACCCGCAACCGCAGCAGCAAGGTTACTATGCGGGTGACCGGGGAGGGCCTTCAGCAGGCGGTGGCATTTGTGCCGGTATCATGGCCGCTCTTGCATGCTGTTGCTGCTTAGATATTCTGTTCTAAGCAGTATTGAAAGAAAGGGACTTGTGCCATTATAAACTGAGGGCAAAGTGCCCTGAAAATTCTGTTTCTGCTCGAATGCCTTTCTGTCTATCATTTTCTGACTATTCTGCTACGGCGCTGGGACGGATACGGAGCATTGTCAGGTCGGGACTCGTCATATCTCCTTTGTGTGGATTCTCCGTCGTCCATTCCCTCATCGTTTCCTATTTACTGGTTGCCTAGGGGCAAGGAGTCTGTATTATTCTTGTTAATATTACTTTTCGTTTACTATTTTTAAGGATTGAAATTTACGTCTCATGAACCAGCCTGATCGTGATGTTCAAGGGGAGTGTCCATTTCAAATACATCACAGCATGACATGGCTTCGTAACTCATTATCCGGATGCACAGCATAAAGGTCATTATCGTAACATAATCGCATCAAATCAGGGGTATCCGAAACAACATCACAAGAAATGCAATCCACCTCCAAATATCCCTCACCGCCCATCATACGAACTCCCACCCCCATACTCATACGGATCAACAGTCCGATAAGACCCCGACACCCGACTCCTCCTCGACCTCGACCGCGGCGGCGCCACCGGCCCATCAATCGACGAATGCTCCTCCAAAACCTCCACCACATCCCCCTCATCCGTCCTCGACGCAGACGTCACCGACTCCTCCACCACAATATGATCGTCGGGATGCCGTCTGCGCCGCTCCTCGACCACCTCGACTCGTCCCCCGCCGCTGCCGCCGCGGCGCGCCCGGCGCACCCGCCTCGATAGCGCGGACTCCGTCGTCACCGTGCTGACTTCCACGTCGTCGGGGTTTGGTTTGTTGTTGAGTCCGAGGCCTAAGTAGGCTAGGTAGAGGAGGAAGATGAACCCTGCGACGCTGCCTAGGACGATGCCCGCTACGGTGCCTGGGGATGGGCCGTCGTCGAGCCGGCCGTAGGAGGCAGGGATGGAGACGGTTGTGTACCGCCGGACGGGGCTCATTTTCTATCCCTCCCCTTTTTCGCCCTTTAAAAGATGGTTGTGGTTGCGAGAGGAGTGTTCGGGGACGGTTGGGTTTGTTGTTGTAGTTGTGTGCTCCGCGGTAATTGGTAGTGGTTGTTTGGGTGGGTTAGTGTGTATCCGTATTCGTATGGTGATGCTGCAAGTGCAACGAGCGACATGTGTGGGATTAACCGCGGGTGCGCGAGTGCGATTGAGGTGCTACCTTGGAGTATGCGGTAACTCTGGACTAAAAGTGACATTGAGAAAGGAGGAGGGAAAATGCTGCGGCGCGGTGAGATGCATGATGTACAGGTACAGCGGACGGAGCCCCGATTATGCGGTGGCTGGGGTGGACACGGGAGTATCCGTACCTTTTTACACTACATTTTTCTTCTAACGAGCTAGTAACAAATTCCACTTCCGAGTACTACGTGCAGACTTTTGATATCCGATAGGGGAAATTACTTGGATTAAAAAAGGTGAATGTACAGCACGTTTTATTGTCGTACTCGACTATCGTCCTGACGCACTGTGCACTGTGCACTGATGACTATCTATCAATAAGCTCCCTTCCGTTGACTGTACTTAGGCTGCTCTGAGGACTGGATTTTCGATAGCGCAGTCATCACCGGTGTGGTGTTCACCAGCTCAAAGTCGCCCAACTTGGCACCATCCGACTCGAGTGCCCACAGAGTCAACGCAACCCAGTTGGTTCCCTGGTAGTTCAGAATACCCTGCGGGACGGGGAAGCTTGTCTGAGGGCCGATGTTGCTAACTAACTTGCCGTACTGGTACCCGTTGACATACAGCTGCACCCGGTAAGCTGACTTCGTGCCGTTGCCAAAGTTGAAGTAGAGCGGCACGTCCCACCCGCTTGGGATATCCAGATCAAATTGAGCGCTGTAGAAGCCAATGCCAGGCTTGGACAGCCCATCGAGAGGACTAGCTGACTTCCAGTTCTTGCTGGGCGGCTGGGGCTGGTGGAAGCCCTGGCGTTCGGCATACAATCCACCTTCGTTCAGAGGGCCGCGGACCTTGTCCTGGTAATCCTCTCCGCCGAGGTTTCCGGTCAATTTCCAGGTGATCGCGGAGGCGTCCCGGTTGGAGAGCTTGTAGGACAGAATACCCCGGGGGTTCTTCGCGCCCTCCGTGCCCACAACCCAGTTCTCGTCGAGACCCATTGTGTCAATGACAACAGTGAGGACATAGTTCTTGCCTTTCTCGACCTGTGGCAATTTGTAGGTCGAATTGTAGTCCGCATTCGCGTTGAGGCCAGTCCATGAGCCTACGAATGTTCCGTTCAACCACACGGAACTGCCAAAGGCCGAGCCTCCTTGTGTGCGCACGTCAAAGGTAGTCTCGCTGCCGTCGGCAACAAAGTGGCCGCGGTAGATCAGGTAACCGGTATGGAAGCCATAGTCCGACGAGTACAGAGACTTTGGCGTGGTCAAAGGTCGCAGGGTGTTAGGTGTGGTATCCAGGTTGGCAGCCGGCCACGCAGAATCGTCATAAGTTGACTGTACCTCCGGCAGAGTATCGAGATACTTCCAATCCAGATTCTTCAAGCTGGGAATTTTGATATTAGGAGCGCTGTATTTGACTTCGGTAGACCAGATACCGTTCTTATCGGTCTTGAACTGGGTCTTCTGGCCGTTGATGTACAAGTCCCGGGCACTTGATGGGGCTCCAATCACTTCAACAGGAGTTGTTGCGTTGAAATCCGCGGTAAGATAGAGGCCGGAGCCCTTGGTATAAGCGGTTCGCACAAGGTAACCAGCCTTGACAATAATGGACGAAGCAGTAGTCTCTGCGGAACTGAAGCCCGTTGACGAGCCGTCCTTGTCGAGTTGCGGTACCCAGTAATTGTAAGCAGAGTTCCTATCTGCTCGGAATCAGTTTGGAGCGGTAAGAATCACAGGCAGAGCACTTACCCAGCAGGAAGATCTTGAGGTCGCCAATCTGAACAATACGCCGGGAAGAAGACACATCCCAGGCGACCACAACAGCGCCCCCAACTTTCTTCGAAGTGACTCCCGAATTAGATCCTTCGACGACCTGGATGTCGGAATTGAGTGAAACGGCCAGCTCGTGGTGCTCACCAGGTCCACCGTACAAGACGAGAACTTTGCTGTTCCCAAACTTCTTCCAAGTGAAGACTTCGGCAGTCGAGTAGATGATATTGGTCCCGCCGACATTGTAGTCCACTACATGAATCTTGGAATCACGTCCATTGAGCGTCAGGGTACCGCCCAGCTGGGGAACAGTGAGTTTTCCAGCACTGGTTGGGAGGCTGAGCTTGTACGGGGTGGATGCCTGGCTGGTGTAATCCGTATGTCTGACAACAAAGTACGATCCGGTGCCATTGCCAAGCAAAGGAGTTACGGTCAAATCAGCGGTGTCGGCATATCCGGAGGTAGTCAAACTGCCAGGTGTAGCCAGAAGGTAAGATGGCGAGGCTTTCACGAAGTTACCGATCAACTTGAGCTCACTGTACTTCTCTCGAGTGAGGTTGCGAGATTCAGTCAGTGGCGATCCGTAGTCGTAGGATGTGTATCCACCAGGATGGCCAAGGTTACCCCAGTTCGTGCCGCCAAAGGTCTAAGTGTGTCAGTATTTGGTCGAGTTCAGACGATATCTTTCCATACCATGTACAAGTTGAGGAGAGCAGCTCCAAAGCTGAAGTCATTCTTGTAGAAGACTCTCTCGAACTCATGGTTGACGAGGGCGGCGCATGCTTCAAAGCCGGGTCCGCCCCATGGATCGAAGGAACCTCCTTGGAACTTTGTGATTTTTAGCAATGTATGACTTGAAAGGCATGAGATCACGCACCTCAACAAGAGAGTACGGGGTTTTCGGGCTCTCTCTCAAGTGGTCGGACCGGAAAGTGGTTGGCAGGTTGCCCTTGGGCCAAACGCTTGGATGTCCCTAGTTTCATTAGAATGACTCAAAGCTTCAAGAGAAAGTCTCGATCTTACACAGTCAAACCCTAGCCTGATCCACGTAAGTTAGTATTGTCTTTCCAGAAGAACGTGGAACTTGGACTCACGGATAGCTATCGTGACCATAGATGTCAACCTGTCCCTTGCCCGTCCCAGGGGCATTGTGTCCTCCAGCCCAGGCATCGTTGTTGATCAATGGCACGACAATACCGGCGTTACGAGCCTGATTGATGACATACTGCATGTAGTCACCGTCGGGGAAATTAACACCACAGCACGCGCCGCTGTACTCATTCTCTGGTTGATACAGGATGACCGGGCCTCCGTTTGTGATTTGACCTTTGGCAACAGTAGCAGCAACATGGGCCATGTAGCTAATCCAGAGTTAGCACCTTTTGACACTATAAGCGATCACGTCACGTACTTATCAGTAGCCTTTAGGTACGCGGGAGCGGACGTTCGCAGGGTTCCGTTCACTCTCTGCAACCATCCAGGGAAACCACCGCCCGAAGCCTCGGCATTGATGTAAGGACCAGGGCGAGCGAGGAGATAAATTCCTGCCTGCTTAGCCGCGTCAAAGAAACGCTGAAGGTCAAAGTTGCCTTCAGCCCGGTACTCGCCAGGCTTTCCTTCTAGGAGGGCCCAGTCGACGTAGAATGAAACGCAATTGAACCCCAGGGCCTTGATTTTCTGGAAGACATCGAGCCACAGCGAAGGAACTGGCAGTCTACACAATGTAAGAACCTCCGCTCCGTAGCAATCTAGAGTAGATCGCCGGATGGTACGCACCTGAAAGGGTGAACTTCACCGCTGAAAATCATGATTCTCTCGCCATTGACAAACAGTGACTTCTCATCCCAGGTGACCTAGAGCCATGTCTGAGTACGCATTGATCAAGATCGAGTTTCCAGTCTCACATACGTATTTCTGTAACAATTCCCGCTTCGCAGGATCCGAATGCTCCATAATAGTATAGCCATTGAGCTTGTGCTTGATGGAAGCACCCGCTGCCTGGGCTGCCAGCAAGGCAACTGCGCAGACAGAGAGAAGCTTCATGGTGTATCTTCAAGGGAAAACCAGAAGAATGAAGCTTACAATGGAGGCAATGCAAGGTCTTCTGAGAATCGGGAGCTTGACTGCAGGAGGGCAGGACATTCGGCTTAATATATGACGGAATTGACACCCCGCATGATCCTCCGACAAGTAAAATGAGAGAAATGTCGATCCTAGCCATCCACGAGTTCCCCGTTTGCACCGTGCCTATCGTCATTGCTCATCAAGCACGACAACAAACAGGTACAGAGGCGATGTGGGCCCTTGGAAAGAGACCAGAACAGATCTGCCACGGGGGGTCTTGGTGTGTGCACATAATTCGTGCTAACAAAGATTGAGGCGGAGACGAGTCGAATTGGGAAGGTCGAGATGCAGGGATTCAGAGAGGCACTAGAAGAGCTGCCATCATTGTGGAGGAGAGTAGTCGCAGGGTATGTCTTTGCACTTGATTCAGAGAGGAAACTGGGCCGACGATCCTCCACATTGAAGTCAACAAACTAGAGTAGTTTGCGATAACACGGGCCAACGGCCTGCAATTTTTCCTCATATCGGAGACATGCCGGAGAATCATGCGATGGTCAATGCCCCGAGTCTTGCAATTGTCTCGCATCATGACGATGATGCAGGGGCATGGCTGCATCGACTAGCATAATCACGGTATCGATTTCCCGTCATCTCGCTTTCCAGACTCCAGATCCATGCAAGGGACGATTTCATTCCCTGGACATGCTCAGTCAGAACGATAAACGATTCAGCGTTCAATGACCAGGTATCTTCCGTTACTGCTAATATTCTCTTGTAATGACCCTCGTCAGGGGTCCTCTCGACTCCAGATCCGTGTAATCCAAGCTTTCGGACGGCTGTAGAGGAAGCGGGACTGCGGGGTCACGGTGGACTCTGCGGAGTGTAAAATGTGGAGTCCGGAATCTGCGAAGTACTTCCTCTTCTATTCTCCTCCGGAGTCTGACTGTTCTCTGATTGCATGATTGATGCAAGTGGCTGATGTGTTTGCTAAATTCAGAGTTTGGTACCTCTCACCAGGGCGCATCCAAGTGTTTCTAAGTCTAATCCATCCCAAAGGCTCAGTCGCCTGGATTGAGGGGTCTTTCCCCTCGAACAAGACTGGCAGAGAACAAAGAGCGGCAATCTTGTCCACTGAATCCCATGATGAACGTAATGCAAAGGCAGACGGACCGGACACCTTACGCTACATATTTATCTCATCCCCATCATTCGAGAGTGAAGCGGCCGACCATGAGCAATCCCCCTTCGCTTCATTACTCCTCAGACCGGCTATTTTTCGGCAAAATACACGCCCGGTGCAACCTATTGTTGAGACGCAATACGCATTTATCCTGTCGGTTAAATTGCAATTCAACCTGGCTTCGAGAGTAGACTAGTGCCCTGCATACATGCAGGACTTGACCAAGTTACCAGCTCCATAATGCTGGTCATTGCTGTACACAGTACATTTGAGAATCAAGTTCTTGCATAAACATATCATATCATTGGTGTCAAATCAAACTTGATTCTTTTCCCAAACACCGAGTTAAAGACTAGATGCAAATATTTATACAGTTGTGTTAAACCGGTCATCTTCGTCACCGGCCTTGGTCCACGTCTCCCGAGAATCAACCTGCTCCTGCTGATCCTCGCCTAGGGCAAGGTTTTCCTGCTTCAGGGCATTCTCTTCCGCTTCCGTAGGAGCCATGCCAGACACGTCTTCCTCATTCGCCTGAACTGCGGGCGTTACTGGAGTGGACGATTGAGGAGTGCCCTGCTGAGTAATGTTCAACAGCTGAGGCTCGTCGTTGAATATACGTAGAAGCATAGCACGGCGCTCTTCCTTGGGGAGCATGAGGTTGACCGAATGCAGCGACCGCCAAAGTGGGAGCACCATGTGTTCACTATGGACACCAATCAGTCATCTATCTAGTTTGATCGTGATTGATGGACAACTAGACGCTGGGGGATAGCTGGGGGGATAGGGGATGTGAAATGTGGGAGTGGGGAGAGTTGGAGATGATGGGGGCTTGGTAGTGTCATCCGTTTGTTGTTGGTGGTGGTGATTGTAGGGAGATCCTCCCTATATGGAAAGTGATTTGACATACCTAAAGTTCTCCTCCGGCTGAACATACAAAATGCTGCAGCCCATTTCGATATCCCGCACACGTTCGCCAATCTCGCCGAGCTCCTTCCAGCCATCATCGGCAACTTTGGGGAACATCTCTACAAGGAGTTTGCGCAAGGTCTCCTTCTTAGTCAGGACGACAGCCCTACCAGGACCCACCCAGGGTTCAAGGATGCGCAACCCATCGGTCTGGATGCGCCAGCGGCAGACGTTGGGGCGCTGTGCATCTTGCTTGACGAACATCTTCACACCGCAATGCACAAATTTCATGCCATGGCCCTCGTTTGCCATCAGAATGTCACGCGCCAATGCGCTGGTGTAGTAGATAGTCCTCGTAGGGGTCGCCTGCGCGTTGCGGACCATGAAACGGTCACGTGGGAACCGCTCGGAGATCTCGTAGAACTTAAAAATCGGGTCGATTTCCTCGTTATCGGGATCCAGATATTTGAATGGTTCCTCAATCGGCTGGCCCGGCTTCCGCTTCTGCGGGGGCTGGGGCTTTGTCTCGGTTGACTCTGGCTGAGGGGTCTCCGTAGGGAGCGGAGTAGGGGTGCTCTCAGAGACGTCAGGGTCTTCTGCCTCGGGCGGAGGACGGTGAATCGGACGATCACCCAGTACTACTTCAGTACCGTCTTCCACTTTGGTCTTCTTGGATGGGACTTCATCTTCCATGTCCTCTGCGTCTCTCTTTGCAGGCGAAATCTGGTTCGTCGCGAAGTAGGGAACCTGGTGCGTCGCTTCAGCAACAGAAGCGTTTTTATCCATCTCCAACTGGGCCTCTTGATCAGGGGCAACCAGATCGTCTAAGGCATTGAGCTTTTCAAGGGGGCGCGCGTCCCCATGCTTCTGCTTGAAATCCAGCTCCTCAGTCAGAGCTGCAATGGAGGCCTTGGGGATGACCTTAGAGGAGTCTTCCGGCTTGGCGCGAATTTCAGATTTCTTCTCGAGGACAGTGATAAAGAAACCGCCGGTATCTTGAAGATGAGGATAGACGCGGATGCATCTCTCAAGAGGCAAGTCTGCATTCTCTCCGGTAGGCGGGAACATGCCTTCGCCGATCCGGCCCAGGCCATTGATGCCTTCACGTTCCCTCTGCTCTTCGACCTCTTTCCAGCTGTTGTACATACGGCCCTCACGATCCATGACCTTCCATGTGCGCACGCCAGCAGCTCTCTTCAGTCCAGGCAATTCATTGCTGCAATCGAGGATTTCAACATTGGCCGAGCCTCCGCAGCGGTTAATAGCACTAGCAACGACAGCCTCGTTCTCGACAGGGTTCATGCTGCAAGTGGAGTAGACCACCCGTCCACCAACCTTCAGCATCTGAAGAGCACGAACAAGAATTCGGACCTGTGTAGCGTGCAGACCCAGGGCGTTGGCAGGGCCCCATTCTCTCCACACGCTGATGTTCTTCCTGGCAGTACCATCACCGGTGCAAGGGACATCGGCAAGGATGCGATCGAATTTCAGGTATCTGTTCTTCTGGGGCTTGCCGTCCGATTCTGGGAGAGGAGGCAATCTGATGGAGGGATACATCGTGGCGTCGTGATTCGTGACGATAAGATTCGGGGAGCTCAGTCGCTTCATCTGATGGACAAGCATGTGTGCACGTTTGAAGTCGGAGTCGTTTGCGATGAGAAGACCAGTGGTTCTGCCATCGTCGTTGAGACCCTCGGGCCCTATAGGTTCCGGCCCTGCCGTCCCTTCCTTCACTTGCTGAGCCACTTGGCGCATCGCATCTTCCTCCCCCGCATGAAGCAATTCCATCAATTGCGCTGACTTACTTCCTGGTGCGGCGCACATGTCCAAAACGGTCATGCCAGGTCTGACGTCAATGAGCAGCGGGGGAATCATGCTCACAACCTCCTGTCGAGTGATATTTCCAACATCCGTCTCGGCGACAAGGAACTTCTGAAACGAGGCGAAAGGCTTGAATCGCCGGACGACATTCTTGGGGGTGGTCATCCACCACGCGAGCTGGTCCGGGTACCAAGGAACAGGGCGTGGCGGCTCGACAAAGTTACCCTCATACTCGATCGAGGTGATTTCGGGAATATAGTGATTCTTGAGCTTTTCCTGGACAGCAAGGGCGTGTCTTCAAAACGTCAGAGTTCAATGCAGCTGGGAGATGTCGGCCTGCCTTGACGTACCCTTTTGAACCAGTGAATCGGAAGCTGTTGGGAAGGTCCCTCCGGAGAGCTTCCCAGAATGCTTCTCTCTCTTCCTCGGGAATGAAGCCTTGTTCGGTATAAAAGCGCTCGAGCTTCTCATTCGTTTTGGGAATATCCGCGTAGTTCTGGCGCTGCCCGCGCGCACCGCCGCCACGGCCACCCTGCAACAGAGTATGTTAACTGCGACGAATTTCCACACTGGTCTAAGAAGACCAATTGATATTGGCGATGCTCACCTTTCTACCACCACGCTTAGCCATGGTGATCAAGTGATATGATTGGGATGAGAAGCCGAGGCTCAAAGATATTCTCGGCCTGCTCTTACACAGCAATAATTATTTCTTCATTGCGGAGCTCCAAAAAGTAAAACATCCCGCTTCGGATTAATGCTCGGTCCGACCCTCGATTATGTCATGCTCTCTATAAAAAATCACAACCTGGAAGGACTTTATTGACGACTCTTTTTCTAGTTTGAAGACCTACTTTAGAAGCGTGAAGACTTATCGGAGAGGCTAACTAGACAAAGATGAACCAGCAATAGTGAGAGACGACGGCCGGTACCAGCATCGAGGTGCCTTTGCTGCTGTTCGACTAATCCCGAGCTTTTTCCGACGGGCGAAAATGAACTTCATTACTACTTGCCCTTGAGATGACAGTAATGAGAACCTCGCTGGGAGTATCCAAGACTACTGTAGGCCTTTCAATCTTGTAATGAACACTTGCGATGAATGCTTCCTCGCTGTTCTCCTCCGTCCCGAGCCCAATATAGGACGCGGAACTCCTAGAGACACCTGTCACACCCCTGAACAACGTGCCTGACACAACCTTCTGATCCTTCAGTTCTCCTGAATGCTGAAACATGAAGATGAACTTGGTCGAGATTAGCGGGATCATCTTCCTAATCGTATGGGGAAAAGCCAACCTATCTGCTTCCTCTAAAACTGTCAACCCTACACTCTACAGGCCCCTGTGTGGTTGAGCCGCACGAGATACGAGATTGGGCGTTCATCTAATCCCTTCTGAGCGAGATTCTGAATGATCTTTGCTGATCATTTCCTTCGAATCCAGTTCCAATTGACTGCTCTGAAAGCTTGTACAAAAATAAATAGTTAACTGTGACTAACACGGTGGAGTCGCTGCTAGTTCTCGTGTTTTGGGTTCAGCTCTTCCACAAGCAGACACACAGGCTCACTACACTTATCGCTTAAGAGACGATTTACACAATTGCCCAAAAAAAGGAGCATCACGGCCTCACTGGCTATCTCTGATATCAAACAAAGTTTTCTCTCCTCAGCCATGTCCACGATGGAGTCATACAACTTAGTGGATTGACTCCGTCCACCATTGGACCAAGCAGAACATAAAGCTTTCCCAGATGGGCTCGGGACCCTCATCTGGCAGGCTGCAGTTCGGGCAAGGCCTGAGAGTCTGCTGAGGGATCTTCACAAGTCACGAAAACGTTCGTATCTCGGCAGAAAAAAAGTAAAAAAAAGCCTTTGAGCCTGCGAAACAGCCCTTCCCCTTGAGACACTGCCATCGCTGCAGTTTAAATTGTTGGCTTCCCTCGGGCTTGGTGCCGTAAGGTCTTTTTTCTCTTCGGGTCTCTTAACCGTCGCTTACACTTGAAGTATACGCAATCATGGATACCAAAGAACCCCAACAGCCTGCCCCTGCTGCTCAGCACTCTCATGAGTGGTCTAGCTCGTTCTGGGACTGTTTCTCTCCCACCGAAACCTGTAAGGGATCCTTGACCTCTAATGGCCTCGCCTCCACTGTCTCCCCATATCTCGTCTACGATCTATTTGCTGACATTTATCCCTTCAGGTCTCGTCGGCTGGTGTGCACCATGCTGCCTGTTCGGCAAAACCCAATCTCGCCTCCAGGATCCCGCTCTGAAGGAGCACAGCTACGCCAACGGCGATGTATGCATTGTCTAGTGTCTTCTCATACAGCAATGATACTAACCGCCATCTGTACCCATAGTGCTGCCTCTACGCGCTCTCCAGCTACTGCGGCCTCTACTGGGTCCTGCTTATGATCAAGCGAGGTCAACTCCGTGAACGCTTTGGAATCCAGGGCTCCGCGTTCGAAGATTGCTGGCAGTCCTACCTCTGCCCGTGCTGCACGCTCGTGCAGAACGAGAAGGAGGTCGAGGCTCGGTCGAACAACCTTCAGGTCGGGTATCAGGCTCCTTCGGGGATGGCTTATCCTCAATAATGTAGTTGGGGTCAGGGTTTGTCTGTCAGTTATAATAGTGCTAAAAAGCTAATAAGAGTAATGGTAATTCTGGTTCTGAGTTCGATAATGGTCTTCAGTGAGGTGTATCAGACGAGTGAAGTGATGATCATTATTGATTGCATCTTCCCGAGGCTTGGGTTACTGGTATCAGTGGTCATCTAAGGATTAACTAAGAATGCTCAGTTTGTGAGCGTAGCTGCCTTAAGAATGAATACTGGAATGCAAAGTTGAAGTAAAAGAGAATACACATTTTGAGTATATCAGTCAACAGTTGTGTACTGTACAGAACACGCTACCTCCGCAACTTCCACCTCTTCGATCTATTAACGACCAACGGAACAAAGGAAACATAACTGGGCAAGGAGGCAATGGCCATGAATTCTGAGACATGAAGAAAAACCGGTAATTTCGTTTACAGGGAGTTACGGGTCATGTCACTGCGGATGCGCTGGTAGTCCAGGATGCCCTCAATGGAACCGACAGCGCTGATAGCGATGTCCTGATCCCAGATTTTGCGGTTGGCGAAGTCCATGACGTCCTTCTCGGTGATGCGGCCAATAATGCGCTCAACGTCCTCAGGGCTGAGGCGACGGCCAGTGGTGATGATCTGGCGACCAATGTCCTCGGCAATGGCAGTGGTGCCGTCGAGGGACAGGAGGATGGAGGCCTTGAGCTGAGACTTGGCACGCTCAACCTCGGCAGCGGAGACATTGTAGCACAGGCGAGACCACTCGCGGAGGGCGAAGTGGACCAGGTCGTTGAGCCTGGTCAGGTTCTCCGAGACCATGTAGATACCCCAGAGACTATATTTCGATTAGTTCAATCTTTACCTGGCATTGCCATACTTTTGAAAATGACAAACTTACCCAGTGTCGCTGTAGCTAGTGGAGAAGCTCATGAAGCTGTTGGMGAGGTTGTGGTGGTTGACGAAAGAGCTGAGGCGGCTGCCGAGGTAGGGGGAGTTGCCCATGGCACGATCCCAGTTGCCGACGATGGCCTGGGCGACGAGAGCAGTGAAGTAGTCATCATCCTTCCAGCTGACACCCTCAACAGCAACGGCGATGTGGGCAGAAGGAAGAGTGTCATCACGAATTCTGACCTCGGATCCGATGAACTCGGGGGTGCGCTTCTGCTCAGCGGTGAGAGCGAGAGCAGCGGAGGTCGGGGGCTTGCTGGGGAGGGAACCGAAGTGCTGCTCAGCCAGCTTGACAAGCTGCTCGTGAGGAATGCCACCGGCACCAACCAGAACCATGCGGTCAGCAGTGTAGTTGGTCTTGATGTAGTCGGTCAAGTTATCCCGGGAGATAGTCTGGATGTTCTCCTTGGGGCCGAGGATGGTGCGACCAAGGGGCTGGTGCTGGAAAGCAGTGGCGTGCAGGTGGTCAAAGACAACCTCCTCGAGCTGCTTGTCAACCTCCTCCTGCTCACGCAGAATCACATCTCTCTCACGCTCGATAGCAGCGGGCTCCAACTTCGAGTTCTGCAGGATATCGGCGAGGATGTCGACGGCCTTGGGGACATCGTTGTTGAAAGACTTGGCGTAGTAGACAGTGTTTTCCCTCTAAGAAAAAGTTCCAATTAGTTCAACTAGTCTCTTGATGGAAGGTCAATTCGCTCATCGTTCCGGGCCGTACCGAAGTGTAAGCGTTCAGGTGAGCACCCATGTTTTCGATCTCGAGTTCCAGCTGGTGCTGAGTTCTCTTGTTGGTACCCTGCATTTCCGTCAGCAACCGATCCACTACCCGAATGTTCGCTGGGTATATACCTTGAAGGCAAGGTGCTCAAGGAAGTGCGCGGTTCCGTTGGTCTTGTCAGTCTCTGCCCGGCTGCCGGCGTCAATCCAGACGCCAACAGTGGATGTCTGAGCCCATGGGGAGTATTCAGTCGCAATCTATGGTTGGTTAGCGGCATTGCGAAGCCATTGAGATACAATTTAATTCTCTTTCGTACCGTGAATCCGTTGGAGAGGGTCGTCGACTGGGTGGTGGACGGCAAGGTGACCGGAGAAGCAAAGCCACGCTTCACGGGCTGAACGGCCTTCAAGGCAGCACGGCTCCGCAGAGCCTGGTTGAAGTTGAACGCTAGGCGCCGAGAGGCCATTGTGAAAGACTGGAGGGAGACTGAAGGGAGAGGGAGGAATTGGAAAGGACGGTTGCTGGAGTTGGGGCGGTCCTGGAGATGCGAGGTTGAAGTTCGGGAGTCAAATTGTTCGCCAGCTCCCGCCAGCCAATCACATGACCCGCTTTTCCAAACCCGCCTGCGTTCCATCCCGACTGTTTCCTTCACTGCATAATAGAAAGAATCACCGTGCTCCAACACGTTTGCCTGTGAATGGACATGCTCGATGGGCATGATTATTGTCCTCGGTATTCACTCCGTAGACTTGTAACCTGCAGGGAAATCTATAATTGAAGTTCTTCCCCATTTCCATCAAACTGCTCTTCTCTCCAGCGGCTCACATAGATCCGTTCCTCCGCGAGCAGATTCAAGTTCACGTATACTGTTGATTGAAGTTTTTGACTTCATGTCTGGACAATCCAGTCAACCTCATACTTCACAAGGGACCTGCGCTGCAAATGCTCCCCGATCTGAGCTTCAGAGAGTTTGAATTTGATCCACCTGATAGCAGGAACCCCTGGAACCTCCTTCCAAAATGGCCTGTTACCCACCGTCAACGTATTGCCGAGTTGGATTTCCTCGCGAGTTATTATGACACAGTAGGTCAGGCAGATAATATCAAGGCAGCTAAGGATTGGCATGCCAGCTTTCCACTTGATGATGAGGTTGGCTATGAGACTGCCTACTTCCACCGTGGGAAGAAAGTTGGGAGCTTTGAGATTAACTCACAGGAGGGTCCAGCGTGGATTGAAGTAAGTTATAACTCTTACTCCTTGTGATATAGTAACTAATCATATCTACTTTAGGACCCCCCGCCAGTGATCATGATGATGACGCAGCATGCCATCAGCAGACTGCCTAGTCAAAGAACTCTAACAGTTGGGGGTGGACGGTGGCTCGTGCTGCCACCATAGAGGTCGAGGTACTCTGCCAGGAAGGCAGAGACGTTCTCCTGTGTGCATCCAACAACATTTGAAGCAATTGTATGTAGCCCATACGAAGCCGCAGCTTAACAATCGCATGCCAGCCTGAGCATATCATAGATCTGCCTCCCTGCGAGTGGACAAAGATTCTATCAGAGGAAGAAATCGCTCAGATAGCCGTCCAACCACCCTCATTCAGAAACAAATATAGCCGGTACTAGAATGCTGATGGCAAGATCAAAGAGGCGTGGTTTCGAATCATCTTCCAGCGGGACGCAAACGGCGACCTCGTGATCCGCGAAGGATACATAGCATCGAATACCGAAAACTGGAGAACCAGACTCATGCAGTTTGATCATCCGGGATTCTACAATCACACAGGAGCGTTGAGGAAGCGAGCTATCAAGGTCCGTAAGGACCAAAGAGATGATTCGGGATCCTTCGTCAAAGATGAAATTGATGAGCTCAACAGCAGCACCCGAAGCAGGGCCATCTCTGCAGCCCTGCCTGGAGAATTCGTACTGGGCCTGCAACCGAGGAATCCCCCGAGCTCAGCAGCCTCCCTCAAGCAAAAGGTGAAGTTGCGGAAGGTGGGGCATTACGCCTCCAAGCTCTCATCCACGAGGAGGTCATGAAGGCTGAGCGGAACCATCGGAAGACCCTCAAAAGGGAAGAAGAAAAGATCAGCGCCCTCGAATGCCGTGTCAAGGAACTGGATCAAGTTTATGTATATGTCTTGCTAGGGTGACAGTAATCGTTTTCAAAATGCAAAGCAATACCGACAAATACGAGAAATTGAAGAGAAATTGCCTTGACTCGATAGAAATCAATGAAACCGACTGGCATATTGCCTGATATTCTCCACCATCGAAACATCCTCTGAGAACCCCAACTTGATAGCACGCGCAGTGTTGAAGTTAGGAGTCCACGTCTGGACAATCCGATCAACATCCGCATCGTACTTCTCTTCAACCAAATCTCGCCGCTCCTTGCCTCCAATCTCCTCTAACGCATCCAACATCTCCTGAACGCTAACCTTCAGACCTGGTAAATTCACCGATCTCGAAACCCCAAACGCCTCCTTGGGGATAGTCCTCGCATGCAACAGATTCTTCACAACAGTGTACGGCGAGCAAATCCACAACTCGGTACTCCTACTCACCGGCAGGATCGCCTTTTTCCCATTGAACGGCTCCCGGATGATATCGCTCGCAAAGCTGCTCGCAGCCTGGGTGGGCTGGCCGGCTCGCACCGTTACCGTCGGCAATCGGACGGCACGACCGTCGATGAACCCGCGCCTCGAGTAATCATTCAGAAGCGTCTCAATGACGAGCTTCGCCGACCCGTAAGACGACGAGGGAACCGGCGGGAAATTCGTCTCGTCGATAACGAAGCCCGGGGGCGCAAGGCCGTAGACGGCCAACGTCGAGGTGAATACCACCTTCACCCCGGGCATGGTAGTGCGTAGTCTGTCGAGGATGTACCGGGTTGCGTCGAGATTGACCCGCATCCCGAGCTCGAAGTTGGCCTCTGCGCCGCTTGACATGATCCCGTGGAGGAGGTAGACGGTATCGTAGCGGTGGGAGTCGTTGAACAGTGAGTCGACCACGCTTTGCACGGTAAGGTCTGCTTGTACGCTCTTGACTCGCGATGCATGCTGGGCAGCGGACGGGGGAACAGTGGGTGCGACGACGTCTGTGAGGATCACTGTTGTATTGGGTTCGCTCGAGAGCAATGCGGCAGCCAGTTCCTGGCCGACGTAGCCTCCTGCTCCTGTGATGATTATAGACATGGTGGAAGGCGTTGAGTTCTTAATCCTGAGTCAGAAGGAATGTAGACCAGAAATAGAAGAGAAACTGGATATTACAGTGACACTCAGACTCGTTCAGTAACTATATTTCCTCCCCGCAATTGATCAGATCCATTGCTGCTGGTTTATATAGTCTCCTTGTTGTCTACATCTGCGGGGTCGGTGGAGAGAACGTGTGAACGCCCCCCACGTCCACCATTATTTCTCCGCGACGACGCCATCAACGTTAACATCATTAGCTGTGGCCATTGCGGACATTACCTCACAGTTTCTGTGGAGGCATTGGTATCCCGCAGATGTTCCGATTTTCCCAGGTGTCGGAGACCTGTCCGACCGAACTGCTCCCGTTCCATGGAAGAGTCAACCCGGCGCAAGTCCGATTGCGGATTACGCTGTGAACAAAGCCGATTTATGAGCCTCGAGTCAGCTTGAAATGTAAGGTTCTGAAAGAGATAGAGAGTTGTAATGAACCATCACATTCATCTCATACTAAAAAAACAAGAAAATAAAATCCAAGCGTGTTCTTTCTAGACAGAAACCGCAAACCTGGAAGATTTTTCGACTCGAACAGAATACATTTGTAAAACGGACACCTGGACATGGACATAAACCAGAAAAAGAAAAGGGCCATTTCAACATATCACGGAACACTTGACGCCGAAAAATAGCAAACATGGGATGATTAGAGACATGATAAAGAGATGAGACCCCCAAATTTTTATGCAGAACGCTTGTAGATACCAGACACTATACAGTGGTCACGTTCGAAAGGCTCCAGAGTCAGCTGCTCCTTGGGCTTGATCTTCTCCTCTCTCATCTTCTGCACCTCACGGGCGAAAACAACCTCGGGCTTGGCCGTACTGTCGATACAGTTGGCCTTGACGGAGACAATGACACCACCCTCGTTCTTCAAGAACATGTGGGCATTCAGACCGACAATACGGGCCTGATCGGGCTGGGCAACATCGGCGAAGATAACGTCAACCATGGGGACGAGCATACGGTAGCGGAGAGGGTGTCTGGCGTCCTCAACGATGGGGATAACGTTGGTGCGGTGGGTGGCCATGCCAATCAGATCACGGCCAGAACGGTGGGAGAACTCGACAGCGTAGACATTTCCGGTAGGTCCGACAATATCAGCGACGTGACTGACGGAGGTACCGCTGGCAGAACCAAGGTACAAAACCTTGGAGCCAGGCTTCATGTAGATATCATCGAGACCACCCAGGATACCGGCGGCAAGCTTGGAACGGAAGGGGTTCCACACACGGTACTCGGTCTTGGTGACGGCGCCATCCTCACCGGCAGGGCCCTCGACAGCAATGCGCTTCTCGCCATAGACGGACTCTCCAGGAGTCAAGTTCTTGGTGACAAGCAAATCTTCCTTACCACCACGGGCAACGAAGACACCGGCGTGACGGTGAGGCTCCTACAAATTTCCATATTAGTATTTCCAAACCCATCAATCGCTCCCAGCCAAAGAAGAGACATACAATGATGACCTTGGCACCACCCCTGGCACCATGAGCACCACCACGACCGCCTCCGCGGGGGCCACCGCGACCACGAGCAGGGCCACCACGGCCACCGCCACGAGGACCACCACGGCCACGACCACCGCCTCCAAATCCGCCTGAAGATAAAGAAGAGATCGTATTAGCTTGCCGTTTCTCGCAGGGGACACTCTAGGACAGACGACCGCATTGAACCTTCAGAGTTGCGGTTCCAGTGAAAGCAATCGTACGAGAACAGCCAAACTGCTGGTTCAGGGGTCTATGCCTGCCTATTGCCCCCGATGGAGGATATGATGATGAACAAACCTCTGCCACCGCGACCACCACCAGCACCACCTCGGGGAGCACCACGGCCACCACGGGGAGCGCCGCGGCCACCTCCTCTAGGACCACCGAATGCCATTGTAGTTTATGATAGGATAATTATGAGAAAGAGAGAGAGATCGAAGTCGTTTTCACAGCCGAGATAACGGGCTGAGAATCAAATCGCGGAGCTGCTGTTGTAGCGAAGATGGAAAAAAATTTCGATGTGTAAAGGACAGCTAAGCCCGTTGCGATTGGAAAGAACGTGAGTCGAGGATGATAAATTGCCTCTAGGTAGCAGATATGCGAAAATTCCGCACCGTGTCTGCTTACAGAGTTCCGTCGAGGCCGTACTGCTCGTCGTTTGTTGCGGTCGAGATTTTTCAGACTGAGCCTTTGGATCTTTCGAAAATCAGAACCCGCTAATACTAAAGCGGCTTAGCGGAAGACTGGCTGATGTGGGAACAAGTTAATCACGTGATATTAACTGATAGCGAGATCACCTGACTTGTATAAGCCCTCGTCCAATTGGATCGTTTGTTGAGCATCTCATAGGTACTAGGTAAGTAACAGGTGGGAGAGGAACTACAGGATCTCGCATTATTGTATTTACAGAGATACTCAAAAGCGTGATAATCTCTCAGGTTCATTCTCATAAGTGAGAAGAATCCTAGCCAAGGAATATACGGGTATGTACATCATTCAACAGCCAGAAAAATAGAAAACCTCGCGCCACCTCACTTCCCAAAGAAATAGTAATTTGCTGCATATTGCACTGTTACGACTGACTCCTGGTTTTCGCAGGTCTTAGGCGGCGATCCTCCGGCAGTATCCACCCGGTAGACACTCTCGTAGTCTCCAACTGTGCCATTTGTGGCCGTCAGGTAAAGCCATGCAACAGCACCATTGGCTCCTTGGACTGCAGAAGACGGCGCAGCCAGTTCGGCTTTCTTCTTTGTAAACGCTATACCGTACTGTCGTTGCGAGGTTGTATCGAGATTGAAAACGGGTATCGAAGCTTCGAAGAAATGATGACCAAGTAGATTGAGGTTGGCGTAAGGTAGAGTCGCCCATGAGTTGGTGGGTAGCTGCAAATTATAGGCGATGTTAGGAAGCATGTTTAGCATGTCTGGGTAGCTTGCTGCAACGCATGTTGCGTTGTAAAGACTTGCGAGGGCACCTATGGCCACCGGCTTTGAGTCTGCGGTTGAGGTTGCGCAACTGTAATTCTGCGTGGGGTCAGCTACCTTAGCCATGCAACGAAGTGCGTGATGTGAGGGTGCAGTCATTGCTAACCTGTGTTCCGCGGCCAACGGCGACATATAGTGGCTTCTGGTTGCTGGGGGAGGGCAGCCCAGATGCAAAGGCAGGTAAGGCTATCTTGGATGGATCGCACGCTGTTGTTGCAGTGAAGACACCCTTTGAATCATCGATATACTCGCTTACTTTGCTGTAGAACTTCGCCAGCTCGTCGGAGTAGTCATAGATATTGTCGAAGAAAGCTGGAGCAGCGTGGGCTGTTGCCATCAGCCAGGCGAAGAGCACGATGAAGGGCCGCATCTTGGTGCTTTATACAGGTGTAGATCGCTATAAAGCCTAGTCCAGCTAGGTGCTATGTTGAGGTGATAAGATGCAGTTGGGTATTGCGTATATGAGAAGGAAAAAGAGGAGAGGAAGAGTGGAGATTAATGGGTTGTAGAGAGGTATCAAGTACGGATGCAACAAAGAAAAATGTCCTTGGTATCCAACGCTGACACTCAAGACAACATGGTAGACAAAGAGGACCTGCCGAGGAGAAAAAACGCACACTAGCAAGCAAGATTGAACAGCAAAGAACACGACTGGGAGTAAGAAGATCCCTACTCAACAGCCAGGATAAATATCCTATATAATCACTAGGCTCGCATGGCTGCATGTCTGTTGCAAGTTGCACGGATCCTCCATCTGCATGTCATTGAAGAAATTATAGTAACATGCAATTTAGGCTTGAAACCCGGCTTGTTAGATCTATTAACAGCCTCGAGTCAGATTTTCGCTGAAGCCGCCTGCTATAGTCATGCGCCATGACGCTCGCTCATTGGGGCCAGTATGCGCCGGTCGAATCCTTCAGCTTGGACGGTATTCTAGTCGAGACATGGAATGCTCCCCGGGCGTTTTGCGCTGCCGAAGAGACGTCCTCCTCGGGCGCAGATTGGTGCATCTGACTCGGCAGTCTTATCGATTTCTGACCGGCCGGAGCTTGCATGCGCTTGACGAGATCTAGCAGGGTTATGGACGTGCTGATTGGCATTGAAATTTCCGGCCACCTTCTGTGTCTAATAATATCTCCCGTTTGCATTGCCGGCGCTTGGGAATCATGCCAGCTTGGGTTAGTGTGCAGAATGTCAGATTTCCATTGACCACGAGACTGGTCTTGACTCGCGTCAATCGGTCTGGGCTCATCATGGCAACTGGGTATTTCTGGTCCTTTTTGCTAGTACTGTAATTGGGCAACTGCTCTCTTTCTCCGACGGGCGAGGGTTGACGATGCTGTTAACCCGCTAGCTTAGCTTGTTGTTATTCTTGGGAATATATCGAGCGCGGGGTAAACATCAAGCAGACATTACAATGTGATCAATGCCTTCGACAAGCGTGACATTAACTACAGTTGATTGATTGTCCTCGGGCTACTTGGTTCCTATTTGCTCTGATAAGTACCAGGGTACATATTCTTCCTCCCAAAGAACACTAGCAACTCAGTAGGAATACCCGATGCGGTGTTTTTGGTTCCACGAAACATGTTGTTCAATAAAGCGGTCTATTTTCATAGTGGCCCGGGTGGTCTAGTGGTATGATTCTCGCTTAGGGATTAACCCAAGCATATCTGCGAGAGGTCCCGCGTTCGATCCGCGGCTCGGGCCAACAACACCTTTCTTTTTGGATATTTTTTGTGCAATATTTCTGAGACTGGCGAAAGTGCCAGGTACTCCTTCATTCTACCCTAGCGCCTTTCACGAAGGGCCACAGTCCAATGCCGGTGGGTAAGGAGCAATCAAGCCTGCTAAGATGCATCCGGGCCCACACCACCACATTGCTAAGACATCGCTAAATACTCATCGATGGCAGCAAGGGGTGGCCGACACCTCAGGTCACTACGAGACCGTAGCATGGGACTCAGCCCCTTAAGACCTTTCACGATGTTGACTACTTCAAATTGGGAACGGAGACCAAATAGATCGGAAGGTATAATTCAGCTGAAAAACTAGATATCTCTGACCCCTGTAAACGCCGACTGCCAAAAATAGAGAAGAAGAGAAGGAGTTAGATGGCCACTAAGCAGCATGGTTGAAACCCTCCTGCTGCCAATCATCATGATGTAACTGGCCACTGCTACTCCCAGACCCGCCTCCGCCAGCTATCGCAGCAGCGGCAGCAGCTCCCAGACTGGCGCTACTGTGCTTTTCTATTTCCATGGTACTCATCATATACAATACTAGAAACAGTAAGACATGCAGGGCAAAGCAATACCCCGCAAAGAGGTTTCGGCTGGTTCGATTAGCCAAGACAATGCGTGTGATGGAAAACACGATTCTCTCGGGCAAGCTCATACGCTTGTACGCCCGCGCCGATTCACGGCCTCGGAAAGCAGCAAATGGTGATAGCTGAGCTTCGTAGGCGGACTGATACCGGTCTAGTGAAAGACCAGAAGGCGTGTCCGCGGAGACATGGACGGAGGAGTTGCTAGGTTTATTCGCATAGGCAGAGGCTGATGAGGAGGCTCCACCACGGCTGTACGTTGAGACATATCGCGTTTTCTCGTAAAGGCTAAGGTTGTCCTTCTGGAGGGAAGCAACCTCCTGCCTCAAGGACTTGACCGTGCTGTACATCTTCGACAACTCCTCTTCTAGCTCCGCATTCTTCTTCTTGAAGCGGTCACGCTGAGCCTGTATCATAGGAAGCAGACCGGAACCACCACCCACAGGCTCCCCGGCGCGTATAGCGTCCATTGCATTGGAGGATGCCGCCGCCTGATCAAAACCTGAAATAATAGACGAGGTCGGCGACGCTGCTCCCCTCCTGGAGGAGTGGGGGTACCTCGAGGCGTAGGTACCAGCAACAGACATTGCGGATGATGGGAAGGCGTTCGCCGCCTCTTGCTGTACACGGAGCAAATCATTCTCAAGTGTTGTGGATAGCTGCTTGGACTTCTCCAGTTCCTGTTTGGTATTTGAGAGATCCTCACGGAGAAGTTCAAGCTGACCTTGGAGGTCACGATGGGAGACACGAAGAACGGTAAGTTCGTCTGTCAACTTCTTGTTGCGAGCCAAGAGCAATCCCTCTAGACTATTACCGCTGGATCCATCCTTAGGTTTCAAAGGGGCACTGTTGATGCCGTTAGCGTTGGCTGTGGAATCTCCACCCTCGTCATCGTCCGCATCGCCCGCAGAGAACTCGATAGACTGCGAAGAATCAGCAAGGAATTACGGCTATCTTGCCATAGGATATGTCCTACCTTGATCATCTCCAGCTCGCGGCGGATATCTTCATAGTCAGCCGTCTTTTCCAACCGCGACCGCAGCTCCTCTCGCTCCGCAGCCACCTTCGAGCTCTGTCTCTCCAGTTGTGAGAGCTTCGACTCCCATGCGTGACGTTCAGACTCCCGATCAAATCGCGCGGCGTCCAACTTGCGCAACAAGGATGAGTTTTCTGATTGAAGGCGAAGATAGGCGGGATCGTCCTCAACCGAGGTAGCCTGCGTAGCCTGCGAATGTGAAACGGCTTGAGCCAGCTCAAGCCGGAGTTGCTCGTTTCGTGCCTCCACCTCGGCCAGTCGCAAGCTAGTCTTTTCCAAGTCTGCAGACACCAATTCTAGTTCTGCAGCAGTCGCCCCGTGTCGGGAGCCATCACCGCCATCGTTCTCCTGGCCCAGCCTTTGAGATACCTCGTAACTCGCCTTGACTTCCTTCAGCAAGCGCTCCTGATTCTCAACCTTCTCCTCCAAGCTCTTCTCTTTGGCGGCCCAGTTGTTCGACTTTTCGGCCAACACGGCGGACCAAGACGACTCGATCTCTTTGATCTTCGTTTCCTGGCTGTCCTCCAAATTCTTTCTCGCGGCTCGCTCCTCTTGTAGTCGCTTTTCCGTTTCCTCTAATTGAGATGTAAGGCGATTCACAGACGTTTGCAACTGGTCTCTTTCGGACGTCAATTTCGGGACGGTTTGCTCGGAGAGCACAAGGGAGTCGACTGAGGCTTCAAGGAGTGGGTAAGGGTCGGGAGCTTCTGACAGAGAGGAGTACAGCTGTAGAAAGGCGGACGAGGAGGATTTCCCGTGATTGGTCAGTAGGTCAATGAAGCTCTGATATGCTACCATACGTTAGCTCGAAAGATCAATTTGAGCGCTGTCGAGATAGGACGGACATTTCAGGAGACCCTTGTATTCCGCAAGCTTGGAAGCATCGTCTAATTTTCGAAAATCCTTTGTCTTCTGGGCCAGATCCTTTCTCTGTATAAGTGCATCTCGCTGCTGAGCGACAATATCCGAAGCCGTAGCATCTAATTTCGCGACAGTCGTAGTCAAGTCAATGCCTAAATAGAGTAGAGATATCAGCACCTTGAGGTTCAGGATAGACAAGGCATTCGAATAAGGACGTACTTCTCCAGGCGGCAATGGCACGCTGGAACTTGTTCGCTTCTTCTGGGAGCTGCTGCTCTGAGCTGGCCCGTTCGGCGTCGTGGCCATCTTGATTGTTGTTCTCGGGAACGATGCCTTCCGTGATCGCAAAAGTATCCATCTTCTTTCTCCTATTTCGACCCTAACTTTTGTCACAGTGAGCCCATCGGACGTCTAATTCAACCAGATACCCCTACAATTATCGACCAAGGCAGCGATCGGACAGAGGCAGATCAGTTTGAGATGCGGAGACCGTTGACAGTTGACACGCGGAGCGGACCGATGGTTGTTCCGAACGGGTAAGCTGTTCTCCTCAGGCCCCAGGGGTTCTGAAGTTTGCTGAGTATTTCCTATTTGGGACAGTCCTACCTGAGGTAACTTGGGAGCCCTGTTGGCAAGATTTTGTACTCTATGAGAACATCAGAGAACATCAGAACGAGGCCCGGATGCTGCAAGTAGGCTTATATCAGTTCTGAATAATGGATCTGGCTCGGATTTACAGCCACTTGCTGACTACAGATAAACTAGCATGTTTGAAGAAAAGTGGAATTGTCTAGATCTGAGGTACGAGCTGTTGGAGCATCATTTTGTATATAAAGAGTCAAGCCATATCTCAGTCGAAAGGCGGATATAAAGCAAACTGAATGGGTCTAATCATCCACAAAACGGATGTCTCTTTCCTTCTTCAATGTAGGATCTTCGACATCCCGGTCACCATTGGTTACACTTAAAGGTTTTTCATCCTGGTCAGAAGGCTGTCTGCGGCCTTGACCATCCACATATCGAATCAGGCTTTCGCAGAGCCGTTCGAGGATCCATTCCGGCTCTGTCTGCGACGCGAGCATCGGACTTGTCTCTCCAATCCAATCCCAATTCAGCACACCGAATTCATCTTCATCAAGCACCACTCCCTCAGGACTGTTGTCAGTAAATCGGATCAGACGCGTAAATTCAACCCACTCTTCATAGCTATAGTGCTTCGGATGGCGTGCAACAGCATGTTTTGCTGTCCGTCGAATTGCAAATGCGAGTTGCTGGGCCAAATCTTGACGCGAAGGACTTGAGTCGCGAGCTAGATCTTCAAGAGGTCTCGGGCGGCGGCTGGAGTCGGCACCATCATCCTGCCCTTCCCCTGGCTCTAAGTCACCAACAGGAAAGCCCTGAGCAACTCGTTTCTTTTCTGCTCGCCGCTCGAGGGCGGAGTAAATAACAGGCAGTCTTTGGAGAAAAGCTTTGTACTTGGATGATTGCGGAAGAACGGTCCAGTCCGCAACTTTATCGGTGGCATGCTTGAACCAGGCGACGATTGTGTCGCTCATCTCCGAGATGAGGGTGGTCATTGTTGGAATAGCGATGAGAGACCACACCACAAAGAACGGCTTGGCCGCGTTCGTGGTGGGAGTAAAATCTCCATATCCCACGGTAATCAGTGAGCAAAATCCAAAATATAGAGCATCAAAGTAGGTAAGATTCCCTTCCAACTGCCAGAAAACCACTGCACCGCATGTCCACACTATTCCAAAAATAAAAATGCTCAACAATAGATTGTATGTCCGACGGAATATGATTGTTTCATTTTGAATGGCACGCATGGCATCAAATCGGTCCTTTTCTTCCTTCATGAGCATAAGCTTCGTCCGACCCGCCAGCCCCTGAGTCCAGGAGCTGATACTGCTTCTGATGGGATGTTCACGTGTATAGCGAGGCCGATAGCCGATCTGTGCTGCTTCCGAGTCACTCGCGTGAGCCCCGTTCTCTGCTGGGCCAATATGATTATTTTCCAACGTAGTAGCACGTCTGATAGTTGCCAGCCGCTTCCGCTCAGTATGTTTGCGAATGACGTTGTCATACTGAAGATCTTTGGCAAACTGATGAATGCTACCGACCACTAGACCTAGCATGATGATGCCCATCACGGCGTAAGGGAATATAAGGCCTCTTCCAACGGTATTTGTAGGCGCAATGTCACCAAATCCCACGGTTAGAATGGTTACATCCGAGAAGTATAGCGCATCTGCGAATGATATGTCTATGACCCTGGAAAAGATCACAGCACCGATCAATAGCCAGATGACAAATGACAGAGTCTGTAGGATCAGAGTTCGCTGACCATCAGTGAGAGCGAAGTACTGGGGATAATGTCCAAGAAGATATCCCAACATATTGATGATCAATATGGCGCTGAGAATAAAATAAAGGACTGCCGCGATAACGGCACTCCAGTAAGCCTGTGAGTAAAGTTCATTCGGTGCAATCGGGCTTGCATATACATGCATCGCAACGGTTCCCGCAATCAACTATTCAATGCAGAGTCAGAAGATTTGCGAACTCCGGTTGATCCAAGCCACTCACAAGAGCCGTTGATGCGGACCAGCAGATTATAGATGCGGGTAAAGCAACGATATAGCGTATGATACGTGTGAAATTACACAGCAGGAACGCGTTTCCCAAAATACCAAACGCAAGTGAGGTAGCGTTGAGAGCAATGCACCTGCAGAAGTCAGCATGCATTCATTCGTCTGCGTCATCATGGCAGTGAATGATATCCCTTACCATCGAGGGTCTGGGAAACCGACTTGCAAGGGCTTTCCAAGCGAGTCATTTTGGTCGAAGAATATGTGACATCTCCATGGCATGACCAGAGCAACGATCGACATGACATTTGCAAGGGGCCCAGTGGCAGCGGCGACTAAAGGTACCGCAGTAGATGCAAGCCACCAGTCTTGAGGTTCATCGTCATCGGGAGGCCTCAAGTGAAATTGACCTTGAACCCATTCCCGAAAGGACTGCCACCTCAGATGGTCAGAGGGCTGTTGTACTTGTGAATGAACCGGATCACCGGATTTGTGGTTTATTTGCGGCGCCATACTTGCGTTCGCTTACCCGAAGGTAGGCAGAATGAGACTAAACAAACATGCTACTCCCCTATGAAAGCGGAAGATCCCATTTTGAAGTTTCAAAAAGCCAGACGTCACTATTTGTGATTACTAAATCGTTCAAGCGGGTCGTCTTTTTTAAGTCTGTAGCAGCTGAGCTGACGAGGAATTATGAAATGATTTCTGTGATGATGTCGTAAGCAGGATCTATAAAGACCGTCTGCGATTCTATGCGAATAAGAGTGCGGGATATGGATTGATGTATGCATCTATCCTCGAGAATAGCATCGGTGGCTTGAAAAGAGGGACGTGCCACATGATCCGCAGCGCATATGGCTTCGTCCCGTGATTTTGATACGCGACGGCATCATCAGCTCTTTGATGATGTTCGCTATTGTATGCTGTGTGGCAACGAGGCCAGAACTAATATGATATGTACAGGACTAAGAATACTTCGACTACGAATTAAGCATGTCCTATTGGATTTAAACTCAGTATACCAAGGAATTGTGCAACGATGTTTGGGATGCACTGGAACGGCCAAGATGTCTCCATTATTATTAGAACTAGTTAGTTAACTAGTTAACTTAGTTAAGCTCGGCTGCTGACATAGCAGAACCCCCAAGCCTGGACCCACTCTTTGAGGCATCAACTCCGCCGAGCTCCAGGACATACTGTCGTTGTTCTCCTTCATGTTTTATAACTGATCTGTCTTGAAAGCGCCAGAGCTGGTCTCACTATGGTGACGGACGATGACGGCATTAGCCCTCGCAAAAGGAGGAAAATTACCTCTCCAAAAACAGCCCCCTATGTGCTCCGGTCTCTGTTAGACCAGGTGCCCTTGTCCGCCGAAGATCCCACGACTGACGATGTCTACATTACCTGTGTCGAGTACTGGAGTAAGCTCTGAACTCGCTGTTTTGTGTTTCTGGAAAAGGAGGTGAACTGACGAGTTTTGATCCTCAGATGACAATCTCTACATCGGAACTTCCTCTGCGGAGATCCTTCATTTCGTCTGCCTCCCACCGGACCCCTCTGACAGGTCCAACGAACCGTCCTTCATCCTGGCCTCGAGACTACCCATTCCATTCTCTCAAAATGCCCCATTGGCAACAAAACACCCTGGGATTCAGCAAATTGTTCTACTTCCAACCGTCAACAAAGCATGCGTGCTCTGCAACGGGACGGTTACTTTCTATCTGCTACCTGAGCTCAGCCCGGCATTCAATAATACGAAAGTTAACAACTGTCGCTGGATCGGTGGTCTTGACCTGAATGCAGATACAAATGGTGCTGAACCGCCCGTTGTTCTGATCGGAGCGCAAAGTCGAATGATGCTGGTTAGGATTGGGGACGATGCTCGACGCATCAGAAACATTGAGTTTCCTGGCTGTCTCATGGCATTACGAAGAGGAACAATTGCCTGTGCCGCTGACTCGCATGCCTACTCATTGCTTGATGTGGAGCATCAGCAAAAGATACCTCTATTTCCTATATCCTCGTCTAACGAAGCGTTCGAGTCGGGCCATGTGGAGGATATGCCTTCAGCTCCATCTCCAACGCCTCAAGGAGCCCGAACTCATGCCAGGAGCTCTAGCTCGAATACACTCGTTGGTATGCTTCAACCAAATTTGCCGCACCTTCAGCATGACCGGTCGCGCTCTGCGACGCCAGAACTCTCTCCAGATTCCGGGATGCCGAGACGATCAGTTTCGCAAGACCGAAGTCGCAGTGCATCGCCGCGAACATCTATTGAAAACCGAGCAGGCGAACTACAGCCTGGCTCCGTCAGTGACACAAAACCGCTTCCTCCCTTGCCGAAGCAGTTAAAGCCTCACATTGTGTCCCCAACGCCGTCGGAATTTCTGTTAGTTACCGGAACAGAAGAAAAAGAACCTGGAGTTGGAATGTTTGTCAATCTAGATGGAGACGTTGTACCGCGTGGCACGCTCAATTTCCACCGTTATCCTGAGTACATTGTAATCGATAGCGGCGAAGAGAACAACCTTGTCGAGTCGACTGAGAATACGCACGATCAATACATCCTTGCGGTCATAGAGACAGAACAAGATGGGAAACGCTGCAAGTGGTTGGAAGTACAACCGTGGGACGTCGATCCAAGGGAGGAGGAGAAGAACCGTAGGAGCTGGCTAGAGGTACCTTCGGCCGAGGACATGCCGTCTTGTCCTGTGGGAATCTGTCATACAATGAGCTCCAGTCAACTCGAATTCGGTGAGCTTGGGAG